TATATATATATATGAGGTAGACCTCGGTCAACCCGTCAAAACTGTACCCTGTTGCATTGAACTCCAGAGTCATGGCCCATGACAAATGAAATTATGATGGGAGTCTGTAAAAAATGAGTTTGCCATCTTGGCTGAGCACGTTCGCACCATAACATTCGTGCATTTGTTGCGACCCATTTGCCACATTCGGACCCCTCTTCTCCATAATAAGCTATTAGGTTATGCTATAATTTAAGCAGTCGTCACGCAATGCCTCGCCGGTTGCCGACGGCCCTTTCACACGCCTAGATGGCTACACGGAGCACGTCTAGCGGGCCGTCACAAAAACGAACAAATGTTACGGTGACAATGAATTGTAGGAATATGTTCCAAATTTATTATCACCCAGCTTGTAGATAAAATACCTTTCCCAACGTTTAAACGCTCACAACATCGTTATCATATTATGTAGTATAACTGATGAAGGGCGGGCGGGCGCGTGGGGAGGGGGGCTGTGTACATTTTACGTTTTTACTCACAGAGTATCGTCACCAAATTATCTAGGTATATGTTCCAAGATACTGTTTAACAATTTGAAGAGTAATATCCTATTACTTTATCGAAATTCATCATTTTCTATATAGGACTAAAAATATACTGTTTATTTTTTTTTTACATATATGCGATTAAACAAGCGAAACACTAGTGGCATCCATTGTTTTTACAATAATAAGTAGAAGCATCCTTGTATAGCCAAAACAAGGAAAATAGTCAGCTCATTTTATTACGAAGTTAGTTACTGTTTAAACGGACGGTCGAAATTACCATTACTGATCGGTTGGATGGATTAATTGGACTGCTAAAACTATTTTTTAAGTTTCATCGGTACAGTTAAGCCAAATAGTTTTTTCGTAAAAACTGAAAGAATGGACGCGAAAGTTGCTAAAACTTTACGAACGTAAAAGTTTCAGCAACTTTCGTTTCCACCTTTGCTCAGATATATAGAATCAACGTTTACTAAGGACCTAGCTTGGAGTACTAACATTTTGTCTAAAGGGTTGTTATGTTAAGAGGGCAGTGAGTGACAGAAATAATAAGAAAAAATATATTTGAACAACATAGGTCTGTCAAACTAGGAAAGAAAGAATTTTTTTATTTGTACAATGCTAAACACTGCACGTTGTCTCTTTACGTGTATCAATATAATTCTGTACACAGAACAACACTGCATAATACTATCGAGACACTTAATTATTTATTAACTGAATACAGCCCCTTTGGGGCTGATGTGTGCAGATAATTCGAGATTTAGAAAATGTTTTTCACTGTCTTCACTCACAATGCGGTTCGTCAATGGAACCTAAAGGCCATGGAGGGGCTACGTTTCCCTGAAATGCAATTCGCAGTACTCTAATGCCCCTTGCAGTTGGCTACCTTGAAAAGCGAGGCAAATGCCTTTCATGATCTTGAGATCATTGCGAAAGTAGAATGGGGTTACCGTAGCAAACACAGCTTATATGTAATAGCGGATTGTGTAAAATCGTGCCTTCGGTACCAGTGCCACATACGTTCGACAACCTTTGAACTGGAATCCCTTTCCCGGTGGCTGCTGATTGCGTAAATGTTCAGTCTTGGAAGTCGAACTATAGGCTCGAAAATCAAATGCAAGAAAAGTTTCCATACGAAATGGTCTTTGAGGACAAAGAAGAACATTAGGGATGATTGAAAAGTCTGCTGAGTGGTGGATAACGCTGACGGTGAGTGTAACCCCACTCTAAGCGTTGGCCTCTCGCAGTATTCTCACACTTTGTACAACTTTCAAACTAAAGAGTGTTATAATTGATTAATCAAGAAATTTCTAAAACAGACGTTTGAGGAGAGTCAAGCTAGGCTAGCTTTTAATAGACGTGTTATATAGTTTAAGCATTTTTGTATAATTTTTGTAGAGAAGTGGACCTTGCAAATGGATGTTAAACAATACTTCCTGTCTTTATGGCGGCGATACCACAAACCTCGGCCAGCTAGTTCATCTCGGACACTACACAGACACACTACAAGCTATACCGAGAATGTGTAGGGTAATCTAAGGAAACGATTTTCATTGATTCATAGCTAAAACGGCGTTATTCGTTTCTCTTACCGGTTATCTTAAGAAAATATCTGCGAACCTTTTGCATTCATTACCACTGGCTGCATCAAGCATTGTACGATCGCGTTTGATACGTTTGAACCTTTGATACGGCCATTTACTCGGCAGAATATCTTCGAAAAATTTACTGCAGGACAATATCTGAATTCGATAGGATTCTTCAGTGCTTAGTCGTTGTTATAGGTTACCAAAGCAATGTCTCAAAGCAACCTGTGTGGTTCATAGCTATAATCGACAACCACAAATTGAGATAATATAAGACCGCATCAATACAACTACAATGTGACACAATCATATTTTAGTATGCTGTTTACTAAGACACTAAATACATTACGTCGCACGAAAGATAAAACAAGTGGCTAGAAAAGAGCGAAGTATATCTAAAAGAATAAGCGTCTGTAGCCGAGAACCTTCTGCGATTCATGGGACTCGAAGAAAAATACCCATGACGTGTGTGAGAATTCTCTTTTCCGTGGTTCATGATCGATAGATTTAAGCATTCTACCATAACGTCATTTTTGTTATCGCGTTAATACACATCGAAACCAAAATCGACCTCGATAGAGCCCAGTAAGTTACATCGATCTTAGCTTCACTTGACACTCCACTCACAGGATCAGCGTAGCTTAACTTATTGAAAATAAACTAAGTGCGTATTAGCATTTACTTTATATATTAGAGTCCTAATATATAATGTTCTATAATACACTCTGCACAATTAATATGGGGACGAAACGAAGCATTTCAAGAAACTCATGTGCGGTGAGGATTTTCGTTTTGCCTTTTCTGAAGTGATGTTTGCCGTACAATTTCGCACCGGATGGTCGCGCAGGAGCCAGTCAACTAATATGAAATCTAAATGTATAGCCTGGGCCATGGGTCTGTGTGGGAACTATACGTGGTCAGGCATGTACGTACGGTAAAGGTATTGATCCTGTTAACAAATTCAGCAATGAATGCTAAAATATTCTACGAGTTACAAGAAGGACCAACAGAGAATTGTACAGCCAAACAGGGTGGAGATTTAGTCTAGGCGTGCTGTGAAATAAAGTCACGTACAAGCCAAATATATCATGCATCACCGGGTAAATCCCCAGAGTTGAGTTTTATTGCATGGCACAGAAACGGTGTACGCTGCCCTATGCGTATTTCCTTCTAAGACCAAAAGCATGAGCTACTGCATGAAAGATTTCTCGCAAAATCGCCAAATTACGTTTATTGTCCAAAAAGCGTACGTAACTGCGAGTCTATATTCTTCAAACAGAATTACATCGTAATTACAAATTATAGTCGTTCTAGGTTGAAGCGTGCTTTACTTTTGCCAATAGAGATCGCCTAACTTTTTTTTTTTAAACTTCCACATGAAATGCCCTTGTATGGACAACCCCCCTTAATATGTCGTCTAATTAAGTGCTTTAAGAACTTATCCCAATATAGCGAACATTCGAATCTTGGATCCAAACCGTATAGGACCTGGCAGTTGGTTCGAATCTGCTATAGAATACTATTTTCTAGCAAATAAAACCTTTAAGGTAGCTGCGTTGAAAATAGTAAGCTAGGAAATACTATGCTATCGTAATTACTTACGCTTTTGCTTGAGATCAGACTCGTGCATGGCTTAAAATAGCACTTACAGGGCAAATTCTGAAGGGGCTACAATATATGTGGATATGTTTGTTTACACGGCAACTATACACATGATCAGTGTGTATGATGATCAAACGCGTGCACGTTAACGGGTGATTCTGCCTAGATCCCACGAAACGCAAATCGTCACCGCAAAAATCACAAATAACTACTCAGCAAAGACGATAGACCGTGGACCGGTTAGATTGAACTATGCTTGATTGTTAGTGTTTGCTTAGAGAAGCTGCTGCTAGAGGTACATTCGCGATAAATTTTTAGTGAGCGTGAAAAAGATTTTACGTGTGTCAGAGTCTACGTTGTTATTTTCTGGGGGTACCTATATCAATGACACCTGTGCGGGCAGCAATATCCTATCCGGGTCAAATGCCTTATCTGAATGTTAGATCTAGTTGAGTACACGCACACGCCTGATTCAGGTAGTGAACCAATTTACCTAGGCTTTTACATTTATGTTCTTCCTACTTCTTGTGTTTGTCATGCGATGTATTAAATTTTACACACTGACCATTGTCGGAACCATTCATAGTTTGCGATGTTCAGGTCCATCAGCATATGAGTTCCTACAGAAGCGGACCAAAGTTTACAAGCTGCGTTCAAAGAATGTATGTATGCTACGTTGAAAAATGGGTTACGAAAAATCACGCGCACACATGGTTTGCCAGGCATCCAGTTACGGTCAATGCGCTAACTCATTAAATCTGTCTACTAAAATGGAGCAGCTTAGTAACGGGTTTCAAAAGTACGGGACGGTAAGGGAGGGAGGTCATCCGTTATCCTCAGGTAGAAACCAGAGGGAGGTGATATCATCAAATAGTAATTCAACACATGTAACGTGTCCTTAATGGCTGGCGTTAGGTGGCAAAGCCTAGCGATGTTAGAAGGGTTAATTGCGAGGCCTGCCACACCCTGAAGTCGGGTCTGCCAGTGCCACTGCAATCCTTTCAATGATGGCAGCGAACCAGACATTCGCACATGAGCGGGTGCGTATGCTTACAACTAAATCCTCTTTCCCAGCTACTGTATAACCGTATACATCAGACGAGCACGGAGCGGCCTCTATCGAGGCGCTGCCACCAGGAAAGATTGACAGAAACCAGTTTCTCAAGGAGAACCGATATCCGACAAATCAGCCACCAAAAGTATCCGTTCCTTCGGAACATCATTTAGACAAGGCGCGTAGCCAATCAACGTCCATCGAGAGCTACTTCATGATCATGTTCTTGTTCTATGATTCACAGCAACTATTCGAACTTTGTTACCTTGTATCAAATTAATAAACTTATTTAAAATTCGCACCTCATTACAAAAACGATCGTTGGCATGCTAGTTGACGAAATATGCCCACGAAAGCCTTGTCGGAAACCGCCCAAATGGACAAAGGCCTCGATTCCCGCTGACTAAATAACAGGTATATAAAATACGTTACTCACAGGTAAACCTATGTGAGCTTAACTAACAAAGCACATACTTCTCGTCGTTCTGTGGGAATTTCGTGCTTTTGCTGAACAGCAGTCCGTTGGATTACTTAAGGGTGATACATACGAGCTTAGTTGTCTCTTTCTAAACCATTTCCGAGTGGAACTTGATAAAAAAAATTGTCAAACTCAATAGGAAACCTTTTTAGTAGCAATTGAAATAACTAAAAAATAACCGTCGACGTTAGGTGGACTAATTCTACGCTCCTGAACGCGCCGTCCTGGCTCCCTAGTTGATGATAACGAAGGTGTTTGCCTAACTGTTATGGCCTCCTTTTTTTGATACTGACACATCGTAAGTACACCTCATACGTGCACACCGACTTTCCGTAAAGTTACTCTACGCGAAACGAATACTCTTGATTAGATACGTCTCATACGTTCATGGAGCGTCATCCGAATTGTCAGAGATTGAGTAACTAGGTTAACTACCTAGTTTTGTTAAAACGTAACTAGGTTTTTGTTGGAAAGCACTCACATTGACTTGTCGCTCTTCTCAATTGCCAGGCTTATGTAAAATACGAATCAGCTGTTTTCCATCATACAACGATTACCTTCGAAAACAAGGATTTATTTATTCAATGATATACGTATAACTAAGTCGACGCACGATAGCAGATATACTAATTGTTTCCTGACAAAGTTAATACGACAAGTTAACGCTATAAATAATAATAACAACAACACGCTCGCCCATCAAAAAGCACAGTTCATAGCATAGCAAATTACCGCTTTAGACGAAAGCAGCAGAAGAGGCTGGAAAGACGCTCTCTTTTTTTGTCGTTTGAGGCAATGGCATTTTTTCCTGTCTCTTTCGCCTTTTTTTGCAAAGGACCAAGAAGGCTTGGTTTAGATTTCATTCCCGATTTTACTCGAGTGAAAACTGTGGATTTATATTTCAATACATTTTCGTACGCTTTGCTTGGGACGAATTTTTGGCCAGTACACCTACTCGATGTTTTAACTAACTTCGACGATTTGAATTGGGCATTCAGGTCTATTTTGACAGGTTTTTTAGTCCCGGCATTGTTCGATTCAGCTTTGTTTTTTACTGGTCTGTTTTCTTCCTGTCCTGTAGATGGGGAGAGATCTCGTTGGTTGTCAATAGTGCTCTGATTACTTCGAAATTCAGCCAGAACACAGTCGAACGGTACCCATTTACGATTGTGGCTTCTAGGTACATTCTAAAACGACACCAATTTGACAAGCTAATGATGAAAAGACAGTATTTCCTCGTCTGGAATTTTAGTAATGAAGCCCCTTTCGTAGGTATCTATTCGCTGCCATAACGATAATAAGTATGAAGCTCTGCATAATCAATGAGTAATTTACATGCATGCATGGTAGTGGTCGAGATAGGTAGCCGTTTGTATTTCGAGTGATTGAAGCGCATTACATGAATCAATATATATGAAGTGGCTAACATCGTACAAAAGATCTAACGATTTGTAACAGTAAATTATATTAGCTATGACATGAGAAAAAAAATGGTGACCAGCAACAAATTCTCATACCTCTGTTGTTTGAGACTCTGTAGATACGAGGAGTTCGTCGACAAGGGCTGCACGTACCTCAGACTTCTCAACAACCTCTTCAAAGTCGCTACTTTCTATAGGTTCTTGAAACATGGCCCTCTCTAAAAAAAAAATAATAAGCATCTGTATTGGGCTGATCTGGCTTCGTTATCGTCATGACGACGACTTTCACGTTTTCAGATAGCTCTTGAGCTTAGTTCGCTGAAACGTGTTCATTCGGAGTCCATCTCTATGCATAGGAAACCCATATGCATAGAGAAACGTTTAACAATATTAAGTGAAAGCCATGGGAGTTTCAATGTGCGCCGTCTTTATACAACCAGGTAGGTATGTAGATAAGCAACAATAGGACATTATGAAAGGCAACCTATGGTCGAGGCAATGACTCATGAAATAATTTGGTTAAACCTATCCTGATCAGAAGATGGAGCTTTTTTAGTTCTGAATTCGTATATGCAATGCGTACGTTGTCAAAAATTTATATTATTTCCTATAGTCGCTATAACGAAGTTCGGGCAATAAGTTGAGCGTTATAATTCTCTGATATTCCAATGCATGGGGAATGCGGATGCAAATGATAGGCTTTTCTGTGCCGGGTATTGAATTCAATAGTGGTGTGTCTATAGTGCTGTTGTTAATTTTGGTCGTTAGAAGATAGGTCAATGTCTAGAAAGGCGATCTGCCGTACAATTATTCACTATGGTTTCGTAGGTACACAATTAGATAGTAATCACCACGTACAGGATACTTACATACTTCAAAAATAAGTGTACTGCCATCTTGGTTAGTGATATTCTAAGCAAAATTTACCTCTGTCCTATTTAAAGTACATGATGCATTGAATTTTAATTACGATTACGTTCAAATAATCTATAATTAATTAAAAGTACGAATAAGAACAATCAGCTAGTAAGTTCTTACGATAAAATAAGAACTTGCGTAGAGTATCAACGCAGGGTTTTACTGCGGTTGAAATTAATAGCGAAATCTGTAGTATCCGTGCTCGTATGGAAGCCAAAGTTTTCATTTGAAAGTGTCACTGGCGATAAAAAATGAATACACGAAGTATACGGGAATATATGTTAGTAACTATTGTGCTATGTTGATAAGTTGTTTCTCATTCGAAACACGCTTGACTTCTGCATAACCACCGTAACGAATTTGTTTAGGGTTGCCGCTTATTTTTTTTTTCGCCGAGCCAAATATGCAAGCCTAATAGTTACTGAAGTCGCCAACGTCTCTATTGATATTAAATTAACTGACATGATTAACACCGATCGAAAGTTTGCTCGAACAAAAAAACATAGTACAGCGTCGTAGGTACGAATATATACTTCGTTTTCATCCAAACTTCCGTCTCTGTACATCTTTTCTTTTGGTGTCGTTCGTCTTTTATCTACCTCGTTTCGTCTGTTTCCTTCGGATAGATCTCGCGGGAGCAGCGAGCTGCTCTGCTCCGTAGCTGGCTGACTTCTATAAGCTCAGGCGTGCCCCACAGCCTAACACTCGTTGATCCCTGTTTCTGATCTTTCCTGTTCGTGATACTTTTATTCTTGCCCGCATGCGCCTCGGTTTTCTCCGGCAGCTCCCTTCGCTATGGGACAATCGACTCCGCAGCAGTAGGCACCACGCCCTAGTAGAGGCCGGCCGAGCTGTCCCGGAACCCACCAGCGGTCGCCTGCCAGCCAGCCCGTTACCGCCACCACTTCCAAACTTGGAATTAAAGGGCCCCGAAAGCCCTTGTAAGGAGAGAATCGGGAAGCAGTATAGGACGTGGGATAGGCAGGGCTGGGAAACGGTTCTCGGTAACCTGCCTTCCTCCTTCCACTGTGGCTGAACAACAAAGGGAATAGTGAAAGTAGTAAAGGCGCTACAGCTGTAAGTAGTGCCGGTAGATTGATTTGGTTGTTCCCGACTACGCTTCCCCGTTTCCAACCAGTCAGCAAATGGAGAAGCCGCCTTTTTATCCTAACCAGACAAAAAGGCGACTGTTCTCCCTCATATGGTCCTGCTCGCTCTTAGCTGCTTTCTTTCCCTCCCTCTCTCGCCTACTTTTTCGTCGTGGTGGTTTCAAAAACTAGTTTTCTCCTTTTACGCTCCTTTCTCTGAAAGTAGTCGCTTCAATCTTCCATTTGATCTTGTGACTGGCGACTAAATCCCCAGATTTAGATATTTTTTCGGTAAGTAAGCATGCGCCCAAAAATGCTTCGGTCATTGTCCGTCCTACTGCTCTCGCCTGAGAATTTAGCACGACAGAAATAACGCACCGTATGAAGAGAACGATAGGGAACAATATATACTAACATTTTATTTTTTTTTTATTTATTTAT